AAAACTAAAGCGTGAGTTGATGCACAGTACAAAAATTGAGATCTTTCTGCCATTCATAAAAGCAGTTTTTTGATATCTTGTTTTCTTTCTTTCTGTTCTCAGTTTTGTTAAGATGTGGTATGGCTCCATATACCACCAGACCAGCACAATCAAATCAAACAATCCAACTTGGAATGCTGTGTATAATTTGGGCCATGTAAGTATAATTCCTCATTATAGATTAGCTGAGACTCTTCTTGACTTACGTTTTTACCCAACTCACTTCAGGGGACGCTGTGGAGTCATTTGATGACGGCCATTTTTTATTCCATTAAAATTATGCGATTTCATGCCAGGGACAATTTTTGGCAAAGTTTCATGACTCTTCATGTATGTTAAGCCCCCCTCAAATCCATTCAAACTGCCAAAAGAAAAATAATAAGAAACCTTACAATTACAATAGGCCTACGCAGCGCTTTGCTGCTCTGGCCTAATAATAACATTAATAATAACAATACACACTACAGATACCAGCTCACTTATTTTTGTAAATACACTGCTCTTGTCCTTCCCCATAACTGTTTTTATGTTCCTGTATTTGAATTTTTGTATTTTCATTTTTAATGTCTGTAAAGTGACCTTGAGTGTCCAGAAAGGCACTGTTAAATAAAATGTATTATTATTATTATACAATAGGCCTTCGCTTGGGGCTGGTCATTTTAGTCATTCTAGGGGGCGCTGTAGAGAAAGTAAGCCACGCCTACCAATTATTGGCCTAGATTCCTGTGTGGGCTTAACCAGGTTCCATCATAGAAAATTTGGTGCAGACTGAAGGATCTATCAGGAGATGAGAGCCAAAAGTATGTTCATGGCGAAACGCATCACTTTGCCAGGTCTCCATGGCAACACCATTCAACTAAAACTCTCTATGCCTTAAACAAAGTTAGACCAGCATGTTTTCTGCCTTCTGACCTAGTTTGAAGGTGAAGATATTAAAAATGACAGAAAGGGACCCTCCTAAGTGAAAAAAGTGACTTTCCTCCCTCAGGGGGAAAAAGTTTAGATTACAGCAAGTGGTCATTTTGGCCCAAAGTGAAAAACAGTAACTCTTAAACAAACCGTTCAAAGTCTAAAATAGTTTTTTGATCAGAATCATATCCATTTTTTTTTTTTTTTATTAACACTGGAAATAAAAAAGAAAACCCAAAGTGGAACGCTTCATTAACTACATTTAACAAATTATTTTATAGGTGGACACACAAATAGACCTAAAAATTGAGGTTTGGGACCAGGACCCTGCAAAAGATGACCGTATCATTTCGTGCACCAAGCAACTGAGCCAGGGGAGCCGCTCTTTCACCTGCTCTGGGAAGGGAAACGTAGAGGTGAAATACTCTCTGAAGTGTGATTCCTACCTCACTGGAGACAGATGCGACCAGTATAAACCTGCTCCACAGTAAAACAACTGGATTTCATCAGTTAATTCATTGACCTTAAACAACACACTACTTTATGTAGCACTATAATTATCTTAATACAAAGTCGATTGATTTATTTTCTATAATCCAAAATTTTACAGATTTGATTTCATGCTTTTTTTAATTGTAAACATCTGTAATTGTACTTTGCATAAATGTTAATAATTAACTGTTACAATTTCCACTTTTCCATTTGGAACCAATAAAGTCATTTTGAGCTGACCCGATTATTTTTTTTAATCTACTACACTGTTGGAAACAATATTACCTTCATAATTACTCGTTGCATATATTATTTGGGTGAACGAAAATCTTTATTGATGTTTCAGCAGATTTTTGAGATTTAATCAGTGAGATCTTCTAGGAGCCCTGACATGAATCTTATGGAGCATCTTTGGAAGGAGCTAAAACCTTCCATCTGGCACCCTTCAAACCTCAGAAAACTAGTAGTGGACCAAAATACCTGCTGAGAGGAGCAGAAGTATCATTGACAGTTACAGGATTTATTCCAAATGATGGCCTCAAAAAGGTTGTGCAACAAAATATTAAGGAAACCATCATTCTTGACCTTGGCCTGAA